GTGGTTTGGCGATCCTTTAGACTATCTAGAGAATCCTCATTTGGTGACACTGGTGACAGTACTGGCAATTAGGGGCAGCATCAAATGAGTTTAGTTCAAGCATCATTTCTGCATAGTAAATACTGTATCTCAACATCTTTGGCAGTGGAGCTTAGCTCTCTGTGATTACAGACTGGCATGCACAGGTAGATTTATGAAAATGTAAAGTCATTTTTCATAAGGGGGGATATGGATTTAACCTTGCAGCATCCCAGCTAGCAAAAAGGGAGGATGGCACCATCTTGGCTCTGACCCTCACTGGAGATGCTTCTCAAATCGACAGCATCCCAAAACCTGGCTGTTTGTATGACAACTGTCATGCTGTACATAGCAGCCCGATTTGCTAGTCTCCTATTTTTCATTGCAGTAGTGGATTGACCCACCATCTTTTTCATGGACAAGCATCTATCGGTAAAACTCGGTGTTGCCTGGGAGTTTCAGGGACCTGCGCTGATTCCTTCCTCGCACAGAAAACTGAGAGCTGGGTGCCAGACTTGCCCTAGGTTTCTTTGCAAGTCATTACTTCTGATTCTTCAAAGGCAACAGTGTCTCTTACAGGATAGCTCTGCACAGAGATCAAATACTATAAATAATTGAATAGCTTTTGGTGGCTTAGGATTCAGCCCTATAAATGCTCCCCATTGTATGTTGCTGCAAGTATCTCTGTCCACAAGAGAGGTTTCAGAGGTATAAATACCCTGGGTTTGGAGGATGGAGGGCTGGGACTCCTGAGCTGCTGCTCCTACAGAGGAACTCTCTTGTCTTTCTGACGTGACCACTTTTTGCTAGAGAACGTCCAATGTATGTTGCTTTGCTCTAAAATAAGCAGTTCCCTTGCTGAAAGAGGGGAAAGTATAATAATAAAAAAAAGGGGGGGGGGGAGTGTGTATAATCCCAGCAGAGTGATATTTGCTCCTTTAAGCATATCTGATTAAAGATATTTATTGTTCTAAACCTTAGAAGGCCTTTGGTTGAAATCCCATCTCTGTGGTCTTTCTGATTATGTTTATACTCTCACTTGACATTGGGTGGCAGCAGTCCTATAAACATACTGTTCAGTAATCCCTTTCTGCCTCCTCCAGTACTTCCACAGTTCAAGTGCCAAAGCAATAAATTGGAAGTGGCTGTAAGTTTTTTGACACTTTTATAAGTATTAATTCAAACCCTTTAACTAGTTAGCTGTTGTCTTTTTCTCGCCATAGGTAGCAGCAGTTCATGTTGTATAGTTACTGATGGCAGAAAAGTGATTTTCCAGAAAACCATCAGGTCAAATTTTCCTTGGGGCAGTGGGGGGAGTAAAAAGGCTTTTTCTCCTTTCTGTCATCTTCCCTGTGCCCAACTGCCTGGCTAGCACTTCACTGGAAATGGTACATCCACAGCATCTTCCTTTCAAGGTAGTTTGTTTCCAAATCGTCTGCTCCAACTGTTGCATTCCTTGACTGCACATTTCAGTCTCACACAGGCTTCCTCTTGTCTTTATAATGTGGCTGCATCAGTTAAATTACTAAATTATGTTGCTGTTACTCCATGACCAGATTTTACCATCCCTGCTGGCAGCCCCTTCAGGAGACAGCTTTTTGTCTGCGATGAGCAGAACTTCTGTAAGAATCTGCCTGTTTTCCTACATCTACAGCAAAAGGCCTTGAAAGCAATCTTTAGTGATTTTATTTGCAGTTTAACCATACATTTTTCAATTTAATCGTATATTTTCAGGAGAAAACCAGTTTATTTTCTGAAACACAACTCTCTTGGGTGGCTGTGAAACCTTTCAGTCCTCACTTTTCCGCTGGAGGGCTCTGGCTCTTCTGTGGTACACAGGAAAGGCTTCTCACAGATTTCACAGGTAACCAGACAAATTGTTGAGACCCTTTAAGATAATATTGTGTGATGAGACTAACAACTGGTAGCATTTGTTGAGACTTGTCCCCATTTCTAGTGCAAGAAAAGTGTTGTTGCATGTGGCAGCTGCGGTCTTGTGCTGGACAGCCAAGAAGAAAGAACTAAGATGTGATTACTCAAAAGAAACATCCTAACATCTGTTAAATGCAAGTTTCTCTTTCTGTGGCTCAGTGAGGGGCTAGGATGAGAACTTCAGCCCTGCATGGCTACCTCTGAAGTTCCCATCCTGTGCTGCCCTGAGTTGTCTTACACACCAGATTCCACAAGTAGGATGGATGATTAGCGGTTTGTTGGTTGGCCTGGGGGGTTTGGCGACTAGTTTTGATGAATGTTCATGTGATCTTCTATTCAGGCAAATCTGTTTTCCATTAATCTTGCTAAATTATCTCAAAACACAATTGTTCTGTTTGAGTCACTCAAAAAAGGAACCTGTGATGCCCATGACAAAGCCAAAAGAAACCCCAGGCCCCAGATCCATTCCAGTGAGGTAAGGATGTCTGTCATTCACAGTGGATCTAGTGACATTACAGCACCACTCTCTCTCATTGACTTAACTGCTCTTATTTATGTCAATGTATTTGAGTCAAAGGATGTTCAGCCTGTGATTTCTGTGGCAGCTGTGTCATCGCGGTGGGATATTTCTGGGATGGCACTAGCAGCTCTTGTCTTGCTCAGGCCAGGCCTTACAGTGAGCTCTGCTTTAGGAAAAATCTCAAGACAGAGCCTTTTCTGGATCTTTTCTTGTGGATTCCACAATAGTGAATGGTTTCCATTCCTTGGGACTCTACAAACTCAGCTGGGAGAGAAGCTGGATGATCTTCAAGTTAGAGCCGAATACTTTCTCTTAAGCTGTGGTTGAGTCTGTGCTTCAGCTTCTGCACACGACCATTTTTTTTCTCCTGCCAGTTAGCAGAACCACTGAATGACCAAACCTCCAGCTGATAGAAATCTGCTTGCTTTGAGTGCTTCCCATAGAGGTGTGCTGATCTGCAGCTTCAGAGGCTCAGGAGCTGGAGGAAAGATACAGCGCGGAATAAATAAGAGCGGAAAGATTAAAGCCTCAAATGTAAGACTTTCAGTTTGCTTTTGAAAGTGCTTTTAATCATGGAACATGTCTTGCAAATGAGTCATTTTAAAAACTCCACTTTAATTGGAAGGTCCCTCTAATGATGTTATAGTAAAGCTATACAGTCAGAAATTACTTTAAACTCTTTTTTATTGACTGAATTTCAAGTAATTTTAGGTATTACGCCTGCCCCTAGGCCAATTCTTGTGGTTTCAGAACTATGCTCTCCTCCTTTTCAAAACGCCTTGCTTTCCTTTGTTGTGGTATGAAGTGCCCACGCAAACAGGGGAAACTCAGGACTGCACAGGGAAACCAGCTCGTCACCGGCCTGCAAGAACCGGTACGGACCACGTTCTAGCCTCTCTGAGCTCTGGTAACATTAAGGGTCTTTGTAACAAGACCTTTAAAAACATGCAGGCAGGAAACAGGGAGAGTTTGTGGGGGTTTGGGTTTTGGTTTTATTTTGTTGCTGTACCCCTAGAAATAAAATGTGAGCAGCATCGTGGTAATTTTTAGGCAAAAGGAACTTGTAGAAGTGTTAAGCTGGGATTTGGGCAGGGTAGGCCCAAATCTGCAAACCTCCTCTAAGGCAAATGGGCAGGATCTGTAGGTTTGGCCTCTCAGGACCTAACCCAGAATTTGGGTTTTCTGGCTTACGTTACTCCCTGCCTCACTGTACTGGCTGGCATGTGCGTGATCAGTGCTTGCAGTCCCCACTCAGTGTCTAGAGCATGGCACTATACGTGTGAAGTGTTCTGACCTCAAGGGGACACACTGTGTGCAGTGTGATCTGCTGCCACCAGATGAAATGGAATCCATGATGATGGTGAGAAGGACCAGAGTTGACTTTTTGCTTTCTCCTTCCGAGATTTGTGTACTTTATTGATGCAACCTCCTTAGCTGCTTAGCTTACGCTACCTTCAAGTTTGATATTGTGTTTAGTTTTCAGACCTGCTGTGGTCTTTCTGCTTAAAATATATAGAAAAGAGATGGTTTTCCCAGTGTGCAGCCACATTTATGATATGCAGTGTGCATATTTGTGGTTTTCATATCATAAAATCCACATGTAAGTTGGATCCTAAGCACTCACTGTTGCTGGTTCTTGAAATTCTCTTAGTAGCTGATAGCTTTAACCAGGCTAGTGGACTTTTTACTTTTTTATATCAAATTACTAGCTGCTATAACCTTATCTGCTTTGCTTAAAGAATTAATAAAACCAGTTTGGCACCAAGTCCTATGGCCTTTAAAAGGAGAGAACCAGATCCTGTATTTTCCTTTTGCAAAATACTCAAGTTGGTAACAGGGAAGCAGCAATCAAGTATGAGCAAAGGTAGGAGAAAACAAGAAATCTGGCTTTCAAATCTGTGTTCCTGTTCTGGAACTTGTTTGCGTTTCCCGCTCTGAGCAAACTTCTGTAGCTGGGCTATGAACCCATGAAAACAAATTTTACAGTGGAAACACTGATACATTCTTAACTGTGCGCTGGCACAAAGACACCACTTTAATATCTCATTTAAATGATGGCTAATGATGACTGTATAACTAAATAGTCCTCGTTATTGCATCCTTTTTCACCCGTGGGATAGATTTGGCAGTCCATAAAAATGTCAGTGCATCCTCTATAAAGGTAAACACACCACATGTTAGCAGACTTATTCCAGCTTATTGATGCCTGGAAATGCCCTTTGTAACATGAATATGTTCATGCTGGTGATGTCAGTCTCCACAGACCTAATGCTATTTCTTCAAATACCTTTTTAATGCCATAACAGGCAATCCATACAGCTGTGGGCTATTACAGGGAGGTGAGGAAGCACAGGCCATGCCTTTGAAGAGAATCAGTGGCTACAAGTACTTTGGCTGTAGTGCTGTGAGCTGGGTGGCCGCCTGCTCTGAGCTATCACTAAATAAGCTGGCATCTCCCATAGCCCACATAGTGAAGCTTTGCCATGGTGCTACTGGGGTCTGGGTTCCATTCATGTGAGGGAGTGCAGGCAGGTGAATAATGACTTGCATATGGGCTGAGGAGACCAATAAATCTCTAGCCTATCCTTTCAACTGCATGTACCTCCAAAGCTCTACTCTGTAGGAGCAAGCGATACTGACAGTGTAGTGATGTGGTATCTTCCCCACTGCAATTCAGAAAAACTCTGTGTGCAGAGTTTGGTCTGTAAAATTCCTCGTCGAGCTGGCAGCAACATACAGTGGTCCTTCAAAGGGAAGCAGAGATTGCTGTTAAAATCCAGGCTTAGAGTATGTGGAAGGTATTCCTTTCATATAGCTCTGTTACACATGTATTTCCTTTGCTCATTTCCCCTTCAATCTTCTCCTCACATGCTTTGTTGCTGCAAAGTCTTCTGTGCTTCCTATTCTGTACTACAAAAGAGCAAAGCTGAGATAGCAGAACTCATTAAAGAATGAACTAAAAGGCATATCTCAAGTAGGGCTACTCTGATAGAAATCTGCTGCTCACAAGTTGGGAAGTGTAGGAAATGAGCTAGGGAAGTTACTGCTGCTCATATAACATTAAGTTGTCACTGAAATGCGTTGTGTACTGCTGCAGGTGAGTGTGCAGTTTACTAAGCACAGCTGCTTGCAGGCAGTAGACAATTTTGCCAGGCAGCAAGGTGATGGCAGCATCTTAGGAATACCATTTACTGAACATTGACAAGGTGTTGGACCTGGCTGTGAGGTGCCTGCACTGCAGGGACACCCAGGGCTCCTCTGGTTTTCCCACCACTGCTGCATCGTAAGAGCCAACCCTGGCAGAGAGGGGCCTTCTGTCCAGCACCGCTGTGAAAGCTGCTGCAAAGCTGCTGTCTTCACTGGGTTGGTTTGATATTGAAAACTTCAGAAAAAGCTATTTTGATGTGGTGATTGATCTTCTAGGGCGTAGGTTTCTGAGCCTGGGTTTTACTTTCACCTGCAAAGCTGATTTTGACCTTCTAGATCAATAGAGGGCTTTCTTGCAAGGAGATCTGGTTGCTTTTGACACCTTAAAGGTGGTCTTGGCTTAGAGGGCAAGCTGGCTAGAGGCCTTGGCTGGGCTTAGTCAGTCTGCCTCTTCCTACTGGCTGCTGAGCAGCTGTTGATGGGCTTGACCCTGCAGTTCAGGTACCTCTTCCCCTCCACTGAAGATGAAGCCAGTGATGGCAGCATCCTGGGAATGCCACTTACTGAACATTGACAAGGTGTTGGAATTAAAGCCCCACTTAACCTTGGGGAAGGTTTTTGTTTAGGGTTCTTTGGGATTAGCGAGGGGGAGAAATCAATCGATCAAACAGTCTGTATGAGAGGAATTATTGGTGTAATTTTACAGCCTAAACCCTCAGCTCACATCACTTAGTAAAACTTCAGTGGTGTCAGTAGCTGGATGAGGCTCACTGGAAGCGTCTCACATCACAAGGAAATTTAGCTAGATGCTACTGGATACCTCCTGACAGTGGTGAGAAGTTTGAACTCTGTTCCTAACTTGGGCTAACAGCTTAATGGTGTTATGGTAGAGACAGATTTTCAGCAGTTTCTGTCCTCTGGGTTTAAGGGCAAAGTTTCATTTAAGGGGAGTGAAATTTTCCTGAGGAAAAGGTGCATTTGTAGATATTTTAAAGCTTTGTGTCTGTCATTTTTAAGGCTCCTGCCTCAGGAACACTTATTTCAGTGCATTGCTCACATCTGGAAGTCAGGTATCACCGTCACACAACGGATGTGTTTGACACAGCGTTCCTAAGTTGTGACACAAACCCAGGCCACACAGTTGGGTTTTTCCAAGCCGGAAGCCGGCAAATCCGTAGACATCTGTGTCAGCCGCTAGTCACTGGTTTCAAGCTGATTTTGCAGCTTGAATGATACGAAAACTTGAGAGGTGGTTGAGTGTGATCATTTAGTGAGAAAATAGCGCCACCTGCTGCAAGTTCCTCGGTTTGGGTGTAGAGTTAAATGTGCCAAGAGTGGCTTTTTGAGTTTTGCTTTTAATCGAAACTATATATTCCTCCTGTTTCACAGCATCTAGGGTTTCTTTATAAACCAAAGCAGCTTGTTTTCTGTTCCACTACAGTATGCCAATTTAGAACAGGCAGTATTTGTTAAGTGGAATTCTTATTAAAAGTTAAAATCCAAACTTGAAATTCAACATACACCAGTGATTCTTATAACTTCTGGAAGAGGCGTTCATGAGATAGCATAAATTCTGGTTCCTAAGTCTGATGTACATAGTGCTTTGCTAAATTACATATTAACTTCATTATATTAACAATTACAAACCAAGCAGAGGTCAAGTCCTCCTGTGTGCTTAGTACAAATCTGATAAACAGCTGGTTTGGGCTTGAGGAATTGAAAGCAGGATTGAATTCAAATGGAATCTAGTTCCCCAAGCATAAATAATAGCTAGAAATTGGGTGGGTTTGGTACCATAGCTTTCAGCTATCAGGAATTTACCTGTATGATCCACTATCAGGTTGGGCTGAACGTGTGAATGAGGGTGTCTTCTGTAAACTATTTGGCCTTTTTTTTCTCTCTTTTTTTTTTTTTTGCCTGTTTGGCTGAGGAAAGTGTATGTTGTTGTTGCCCTAATTTCATGAAGCAATGAAGGTGATCTGCTGGGAAGGAGGGTGTTATCTTTCCAGTGAGTGATTCCTGCCTTTTTAATGTATCTGTTAGAAAAATGTTTGTAAGAGGCTACTCTGATTGCTGGGGTGAGGATGGAGAGGCAGAGGGAAAATATACTCTTTTGCTGGACTTAACTGGTATTAGCAGTCGGGATATCAGAGGCTGGAAGCACAGAATGTCACCCAGAACATAAATCTGTCAAACTCTTTGAAAGATCTGTACTGGAAATGATGGTTTTTTGGACCTGTGAATGAGTTTGTTCCCTGAAGTCAGACAAGCAGTACGAAATGTGAGAGTATTTCTGGATGGAGATAAGTACTGCAAGGAAACTGGATGGGAAGTGCTTGATTTACAGTCACCAGTTCACCAGCTTGGTTATTTTTCTGAATGGCAGCCTAAACCCATTCCCACAGCACTGTATGAAAATGTCTCATGAACTTCACAGTCCTTTCTCTACTGTAACTCTGTGAAATGCCTATATTCTTATCCAAGTATTTCCCCTTTTAGGGAGCCCTGAAGGCCAGAAGATGTATGTTTTTAACCTGACATCCCTCACAGAGTCTGAAAACATCTTGTCAGCTTTGGTATATTACTATATTGGCGATTTGCTGCACGCAGAGTGGAACTGTTCACAGTCCAGAGGCTGTTCTAGTCAGAGGCACAGGAAACCTGAAATTCAGATACATCTTTCAGTCTGGACCTTACCTTCTGCGGGGAATGAGACTTGGACCCTGGGACATTTCCTCATCAATGTCTCCCCAGCTCACCAGGACGCCCTTTCCTGGCAGAGTAAGGATATCACTCAGCTCCTGCATGGAGCAAAACAAAACAATGAACTACTGATTGGTGTCAAAATGGATCTGAGCAGCCGTCGCCCCTGGGAACGAGCACCTTCTCACTATGAACCCTACATTCTGATTTATGCCAACGATTCTGCAATTTCAGAGCCAGAGAGTGTCGTCTCTAGTTTGCAAGGGCACCGTCATCCTCTGGCGAGGGTCTTTCCCAGGCCAGAAAACCAGGTGAGGAGCAGCCCTGGGAACAGGCGGCGAAAACGATCCACAAATGTCCTCCTGCCGTTGCAGAATAATGAGCTTCCAGGAGCTGAGTACCAGTACAATGAGGATGAGAGGTGGGAGGACAGAAAACCTTACAAAACCCTCCAGCCACGGCTGCCAGAGAGGGCAAAGAGTAAGAAAAAGCAGAGGAAGAATCCCCACCAGAAGAGCCAGGCTCTCCAGTTCGATGAGCAAACGCTGAAAAAGGCGCGAAGGAAGCAGTGGAACGAGCCCCGGTATTGCGCCCGGCGCTATCTCAAGGTGGATTTTGCAGACATTGGCTGGAGCGAGTGGATTATTTCCCCAAAATCCTTTGACGCCTATTACTGCTCAGGAGAATGCCAATTCCCAATTCCAAAGGTATGGTCTTTATTGCTTCTTTTGCGCTGCCTGTTAGCAGAAACTGTGCATTTTCTTCCTCGAGTCAATAAAAGGCAGGTGATCACCCATTCCATGTTCAGATGTAGTAATTAAGTGGTATCTTTGTGTCACGCTGCAAGGACTAGTGGTTAGAAGAGCTAGTAAAAAGGCAGGCTTGTAAAGGTAATTAAAACAAAACCAGTGAATGTTATTTGGTTTTTTTATCCAGTCCCCAAATTGCCTAAACCACTTCCTGAATATTGAGCAGTCAGTTAAGACGCTCGAATGTAAGCGAAAGACTCCAATGATGAATTGCTTCTGTGACAGAACAAGTGGCTCCAAAAGCAGGGGATGCTGGCCAGCTGACTTGTGAAATACCCTCTGGGTCTGAGATGGTTACATGTGGGTAGCAAGAAAGGGTGATGTGCTCCTGAGGCAGAAAAGCTCTCTTTTACTAGTCAATACATAGCATGTATCTTCAGGGTTAGCCAGTGCCCAGTGCAGAGACTGGATGCTCAATAATGATGTGCACACTTGAGAGCAAACAAGGCTTTCTCAAAAGCAGGTTTGGATGTAGTGGTTTTAGAGGCCCTTGCTACTGATCTCTTCTTGCTTCGGCTGGGATCTAATCCTGTCAAGGTAGGAGATAACAAACCTTAGACAGAAAGTAAGTATGTCTTTGAGAGTTGAGGCGAGACTTTGAGAACACAGGTTCCTTAGCAGCAAAAAGCATAACGTATCTTTGTGGAGATAAAGAAACTTTCAGAAACCTAAAGTAGAGTCATGGTGAAGAAGCAGTGTGATAACAAGGTTGCTATTCCTTTCGCAGAGCCTTTGTTAGCCCCTGCAACCCTACCGTCGGTGGGTAGTGGCATGGTTTTGTGGTGGACTTGGCAGTTCGAGGGTAATGGTCTTTTCCAACCTAGCTGATTCTGTGGTTCTATCGCTAGCGTGCTCCATAACCTCACGGCCTAACTCCCAGACTACCTTCAAACCTCTGGAGAAAAGCACAATGAGCCATGCAAATGCTCCAGCAAGTAAAAAGTCCTGACGTGAGTTTGGTACCGGTGGTTCCGAAGAGGCAAAGTGAAGTTTAGTTCATACAATCATAGAATGAGCTAGGTTGGAAAAGACCAGTTTATGTTCTGCTAAATTTGGGTTCTGCTTTCCTGCAGGTAGTAGCACCAGCACCTGAGATACTGCGGTTTAGCTCCAGTTTCTCAAATAAGTACACTTGCACTATTGGCTACTCTTACAGTAGCCAAGTCTAGCAGTCCCAAAGGAGTGTTCTTTCTCCTCCTTCATCCCTCTGCTCTGCCTGGGGTAGGTATGTACGTGCTGCCAGAAGTGGTCTCTGCTCTGGAAATAGCTGATAGTAGAAAAAAGATGAGAACTAAACAGAAAATAAACAGCAGGCAAAAATACAGCACAGAGTTTAAATGACTTTGACGTGAAGCAGGAGGTCCAATTGCTGTAAACTAAGTCTGTAAGCACAGGCCTGCAAAGCCATAACCGGGACAAAAGTTTCCTTCTACAAATTCCTGTTAAAGGGCCTAATCAGGCCTTTCTGCGTGAAACTCTCTGGACTCAGTTGCATGAAGGATTATAGCAGCAGAGCATTAGAGTTATTTAGGCACTGTGAAGCTGAACGTTTACTGCCAGGTACTGCATATAGAGCTGGATACCAAAACCCATTGTGAGTCTGGTTCCCTGAAAGGAATTGGTAGATTCCTGTCCCTGTTGGAATTCAGATTGTTCCTTTAGTGTGCTTTTTCAATTGTGAAAACCAAAACGACCTTGTTTTCCAAAGAGAATGGAAAGCTAAATTCCATTGAAAGGTGAATCGAGCAAGCGCATTCTAGAGCCATGTTATTCTTGAGCTATGCGTAGTGTCTGGTGCTGCTAATAAGACCCTGTTTGCAAAATGATGCTATAACCATCAGGCAATAGCAAACTAATCTGTGCCTACGGGTATATAATGTTCCCTTGCTGAGGGCGAGTTCCTAAAGTTTACAACCTGCTGGGTAATGAAGCATGGATGTGCCTCTTCTACCCTTCCCCTTCCTACCTCCGCGTTTTCTGACCTTACCCTTTCCCTGATTTCATTAGTTGCTTTGACTGCTGACAGACCCACATGCGCTGGGCTTGCCTAATGCTGCAGAGCACATTCCTAGGTCGGGAATGAAAGCTTGGAACTGACATCATTTGCCCTGCTCATAATCTGTCGTTAAGGGAATTCAGCAGGGCAGCAAGTCTCCCAAAGATGCATGCAGCTCGGCTGCAGCTGCGGCTGGACTTGTTTACACATCTGGCAGTTTGGAGGCAGCTCGGCTTCTTTTCGTCTCACTGCTCCTCTCAGCCTCCACTGCTTCTCCCCTCCTAAAAGCAAATCTCTGCCCACTTTCCATGACTGGGGCAATGGCCTCAGCTGGTCCTTGTACAGGGCAGTGTGCCAGGGCAGTACTCCGGCGGGAATTCGCTTTCCAGCAAAGCACAGGCCTTTGGATTTTGCTAGGGTCACAGTTACGTTCCCCTTGGCAGAAGCAGAGCTGGTTATCCCCAAGAGCGCACCTTAAGGGCCAGAGGCAGCGTATTCCGGATGGACTTCAGTCAGTACGGAGGATGTTCTATCTTGTAGGATACCTGTATCAAACAGAGATATTTCTTTCATCAGAGAATGGCAGAATGTATCTGGGCTATTCCTACTGGCAGCCGAGGCCATCCTTTAAATCAGTTCTGTACGAGTTAGCACATGCTGACTTGGTTAGCATTGGTACGGATATTGGTACGGATTCCATAGCTGAAGGGAAGGGTTTCCCATGAGAACTTAGCGCGGCACCTTCAGAGACCTGGTTTTAATTCCAGTACTACTGGCAATGGGAAGCTAGGTCTTGGTAGATGTTTTACCTTTTGATGTCTGACCAGCAGGCTCAGGAGATCCATTTGGCTCCCGGGTCGCTTTGTGGAGAATGCTGCACTGCAGCTGAGACGAGAGACAAGGCTGGATGCTACCGGAGCTTTCGCTTCCTTTTGCAGGCAGAAGGGATACAGAAATCTCTAAGACCTTTTTTATATCCCTATCAATTACTGCTGAGGAGCACCAGTATTCCTGACCTCCAGACAAAGAGAGATGTCTTTCTCGAGATGAGCTTCCTAGATCACAGAACCATAGGATTGCAGATGGAGATGATCACTTTGTAAATGTCTGTAAATGTCTTTGTAACCATGCTGGGAAACCTACAGCCATGGCGGGGATTGTGCAACAAGCTTTGCATTTGTATTTTGGACAGAGCGTCACCACTCCCCTGCATCTCGTTCGTCTGGTAAGCTGTGACAGGAACCTTACACAGCAGCAGGGGTAAATGGTCAGGCATTGTGTAACATCTGCATGTAGAAGAGTAGCTGAATGCTCCCCAGTGAATCCTCTTCAGGTCCTACTAAATTGCAGCCCCAGTGTGACTTACTTTGGTAGAAGATATATTGTACAGCTGATCAGCTGTGGGGTCTCCACAGGACCCTTCCTGAAGAAACCAGTTTTGTTCTAGGGCATGTGGGTCCCTTCTCATGCGGCTGTAGTAGTTACGTTTTCTGCCCTATTTTTCTCTTGCAGGCCTTGAAGCCGTCCAACCACGCCACCATTCAGAGCATTGTGAGAGCCGTCGGTGTCGTTCCGGGCATCCCCGAGCCTTGCTGCATTCCCGACAAAATGTCTTCTCTTAGTATCTTATTCTTTGATGAAAATAAAAACGTGGTTCTTAAGGTGTACCCCAACATGACAGCGGAGTCCTGTGCGTG